GGAAGCACAATATAGCTGTCATTAGCACAGTCAAACAAAAGCACATTAAAACAAACACTGGTACAGTTGGTTATAATAGCAATTGTTTCTATTAAATCAGTCGTGTTATCGTGAAAAGTGTGAGTCACTACAAGTTTACCGTCTGAATTTGTTGTATCAGGCGCTATCCTCACATTCCCTCCAGACCACTAAGTTACTATCAGAACAATATCCCGCATGTTAGCAGTGCTAATGAATGTTACACAGGGTCTCGAATGATTTGAGTTTTCTTTAGGGTTAACTTAATGTTATATTCACTTGTGGCTTTGGTTGAGCTTGTTAAATGATACTGTTCTCACCTACAGGAACTAGTCCATAAGGTGCCATAATGTGATAAACTCAAATGTTTTTGTGAAATTTGGAATGATAAGCATGAGAAAGTAATATGTATTCTTCTGTGTGTTGGGAATATTTGGTGAAACGCAGACTCAATAACTCGTATAACTGCAGTAAGTTACAGTATGGCTTTTTTTGTATGACATTCTAAAAGTAATCACAACACAGATAGCATAGGTATTCGGAGTTTGGTAAGTCGTTTACATTTAAAACCTTTAAAATCAAATCACACCAACCCAGTCGAATCAAAAGTTAGAAATGAAGAAGTTCGAATGTGTATTTGGAAAGCTATCGATGAGTCGAGGAGCATTTGGTCCAAGTTGGCTTACGGTGGCAAGAGATGCGTAACACGGCGCACACATTGGATATCTGGTGAGGATTCTTAACAGACAGTCTTTATTTTGTGAATTTATCTACCGCTACAACATTTACAACCAATATCTACCATTCGATTTCATCAATATTAAGAAGGCTTAACTTGCAATTGATTAATGTAGCTGTTACTTTTGAGGAGCTCGTAAATGCTACCTACATTGTTTCTTTTTCTGCTCTGCTAGCCATAGCTTGTGACTGAAGAGCATAAATGTTGTAATGACTTTAGGCTGGCAATCTAACTATGTAAAATGTAACGATGAATGAGCCGTAAAATACTAAAATCATCTTTTGGATTCCCTGAACTATATTTAGTCTAACTTCTTCGGGCAGCAGTCGTAGCAGGAGCGAAGTATGAACTTGATCGAAATTGTATATTTGACGGAAATCAATTTGTGGTTGCATTTATAAGTTATTTATTACTTATCACCAAACGTTTAGTAAGTCAGGGATTCCGAAAACAAAGTGGGCTGCAATAAGAATGTTATCAAGATAAAGTGTCACCAGTTGCCGCTTGATGTTAGGGGTAAATGATTCAGACATCTCACGGATTTATTTTGCTTCATTTGTCCCCTTGCACTTCCTTTATTTGGATCAATAAGTAATTTCGCCTATAAGTCAAAAGGCGATTTTTGTTTAATGATCGCGACATCTGCTCGAGTTGTACGAGGATGGCGTGGCCTCCCAGCTTACATCGAAGTCACACCTAGAAGTTAACATGGGTTACTCTTTCGCTGTATCCATGCACTAAGGTTACTTTGGTGACTGTATAGCTAAGACATTACGTTATGACGAAAATGTATCTGTAAGAATAGGCAAAAGAACAGAGTTTGACTACTGTCTCATGGGCCAGCCCATGACTTGCAACTAATTGATGCGCGTTTGTTGTCCTTGGGATTGAGGACGGTCGGTAGACGTTCGACATTCAGTGACTCAAAAGCCGAGAGACCTGGATAGGATCCTGTGATATCTCCCTGGTTCTTCACAAGAACTAAATAAACGCCAAAATAAAGCAACGGTGAGACTACGACTTTATAGACGGAACAGTTTTGGTTTTGGCGCGAAGCTCATCCGATTGACGAAACATAGATTTATCCTATCATACTTTATGGAAATCCTTTAGCGCATTATCTAATTCAATCCAGCTTCCGAATCTCTTGTTCAGCATAATACGTTGGAACGCGTCGCTTACGTCCACCGAAATTTCACTTGAGCATGAGGCACTAGAGACAACATACAATAGTTATTAAAAAAAGGTTATTCCTTGAAAAAAATTAACTGAAGGAAGAACAACAAATATTTAGGACTTACCCTTCAGTTGACATTTCGTCTTAACTCACAAAAACTAGGCGCATCTATAACCTTTTACGTTATTTTATCTTTCTTACGTTGTTTTCTGGACCTTATCAACAAATTATATATAGCTGTTGACTTTCACTACAACACTTAGGACCACAGACCAAGTTTCGAAGGAACAACAGAGCTAAAGTGTGCACTACAAAACAGAAAATACTCAGTTAATGCTCTTAGCAGTTATTTAGTGTTTATTATGCATCAAAAGATGACTTATATATGGAAAGATTTAATACTCATAGGACCCAACACACACACGGCAATTGAAATACGGAATGCCCGCTTCCAGTCAGCGAGTTCAAGGTCGTTGAAACGAAACGGCGGACAGATTTGAAAGGGATTACCGTTTTTACCTTGCCACAGTATGATGGCCGACATCAGTTCGTAATGAAGGCCCTGAATGCAATTTTCAACCTGACAGTTCAATTTAAAACATTTATCATAGTTCCTTGCACTAATATAATACCCTAATTTTACCTCGATAAATGGGTATTCTCAAGGTCACACAAGGTCATTACAAGGTCGTCCGTCAGACATTCGGATTTGTGTGGTAAGGACAGGAGACCGACGGCATGTTATTCTTTTCCTAGTGTGATTCTGTGAGTATCTAGTCTTCTCTTGAATGTGTCAATTGAAGGGGCGGACACCAATGCTTCGAGTAACAGGTTCCAAGGTTCGATGACTCTGTGTGAATACCTGTATATATATCCAAGGCATATATATGCCTTGGGTATTTTGTTCGTTCTTGGATTTTCTACTCACCTTTTATGTCCTCTAAGATGTCTCAATCTAGTGGGAAAAAAGAGGGAATGTATCTGGTCCAAAATCATTTCTTAGTATTCTACACATCAAAATGAGATCACCGGACAGGCGAAAAAGGCGACATTCTGATGCGTTTTCCCCTTTCGCTACCAAAGCATTTACCCATTTATTTCCCCCTTTTCCCCTTTATTTTTCCTTTTTGTGTTGCTTGAGCCTCAACCTGCGATAGGCCAGAGTAAAGAGGTCTAATTTTTTAAGCCGCCCTTTGTGTGTTAGACCCCGAAATTCTGGAACTGCACGAATACCAGCCCTCTTTAATTTTTTCCAGGATATCCGAGTCCCCTTTTTAAACATGAGCTTACAGTCTGAATGTAGTTTTCAAGCCTTGTTATATCTGGTGGGATCTATTTTATTATTTATTTGAACACAAATGCTGGTACAAGGAGGCATCAGATACATATGCCTGGGTGCCCAAACCGAAGCAGGTGGTTTTCTTAGGGCCCCACACCCGGAGACTTCGACCCGAAGGTCTGATCCACAATGCAGTGGAGCATTGTAAGAATTAGTCCCATGTCACCCATTGACCAACCCTTCTTCAAGAGAGATAGCTGACTCCCCCACCCTCGACCGTACCAAGGCAACTGGGGCTATTACTATAGTTGATACTATAGTTCACCCTCTCACTGTGCAAATAGTTTTCGCTATTTTCGTACACATATCTTTATGGTTCTAAGTGTAAACAATTCGAAACTGCCGTTGCGTTGTTATTCACAGATGCGAAAACAGTGAAGAAATATCTTTTTCTTCTAAAGATTATTGAACCTTTGTTTAGACTATTACACCTTTATTTACAGAGCCTTCTTTTAAAATGCTGTGCATTATCTGACCCGAATTTATGGCCTGAAAAATAACTTCCCGTTGATAAAATAAGTATATTCCTGTCTTTGTATCGAACTAGAAGCATAATAAATAAGATTAATTACTAGACCTATTTATTTTGAGAACGATTCTAATACCTATGGTTTACACTGCATTTAGCTGTAATAGGTGTTTCTGTGCAATTTATTTTTCAAATTCTTCCATTCAAAAACGAAAAAGAAATTTGTTCGCTCAATTGATTCAAACACAGCTCTAGTATTTCCAACTAACCCATCGGTTACTACAACCGGTTGTTCTGTTACTTCACGAGAAAAAAGACGTTGATTTCTGTTTCAATATTGAATTTGTGATTTTTTGTATCACTTACAAAATGTTTTGCCATAAATATTTGTATTTGACTCATTGTTTTGATTTTCTCCAGTAACATTTGTAAATAATTCGCGTCTTTCATTTAAAATATCGTCTTATTTTTCAATAGAACACGGTCAAGTTTATTCTTTATGTAACGTCATTTCTTTGTTTCAGTCAATTCCCTATGTGTTATTTACATTTCACAACTTATTTAAAACATATAGCTAGTAAACTCGACAACATTATGTTTAATTAGATGAATTATAACCTGGCTAACTAGCAGAATAATTTTTTTGCGCATAAGGTCGCACGTCCTGAAATCGGTTACACTTGAACACGATGGAAGTAGATAAAACATGCTGAAATGTGTATCATCTGTTGTTCATAATTTGTGATCTGATCATGAAAGTGTGTGATGCCAAATATAGGACCAATCCTGAATTTTATTCTATGAATCATCACAGTAGACAACTTGTAGTTTCTTATTTCAAGCTACATCAAGAATATTAGCTTATTTAGGTATTCGATTACAATTCGATCTGCTGCATTAGCGTCTGGAGTTGTTTTGAATAACTCACCGCCCCGGGCATTTCAGCCTACATCCATAGTTTGAAGTCTACAGCATACAATCCCTACACCATATGATTGGTTCACAGTTGTATGTATAACTGGTTTCCTGCTGACTTCCACTAAGTATATACCGAGAATTCACGATCTGTAGCTATTTTTTAAAATTTGTTATCTTGGTAGAAATCTATCCTATTTTTCTATTTTTAATCTAGATTTTTAAGGTGCAAATACCTCACAGACTATTTTTCTATTGATTAGTCATACGTGTTAGTGTAAATAAATGTGATTAAAAAAGTTAGTAACATTAGCAACTTGTTTATTTTAACCTTTTAGAAATAATGACCATCGTATTGGGCATTGAGGGTAGTGCGAACAAATTAGGCGTTGGGATCGTTCGTGATGGTTCGGTGCTAGCAAATCCGAGGGTGACATACATTACTCCACCCGGCGAAGGTTTCCAGCCAACAGAAACTGCTAGATTTCATCAGTCTCATATTATTGAGCTTGTTCAGAAAGCCATTAAAGAAGCGAAAGTTGACCCTTCCGAATTGGATGCTGTTGCTTACACGAAGGTTTGTTTGAACAAATCCGCCCAACTGCACATGATGGTCATTTTTAGTAATAAAATTGATTCTGTTTTCATCACTATAATTCCGAAAGATATTTTAATTATCTTGATTTAACTTCATTTCGGGGTTTCTATTTTATTTCATTTAAACACAAATATTTGTACGAATAGAGACCAAATAGATGTACACCTCACAACAAGAAAATGAGACTATGAAGAGACCGAGTTATAAACGAATAAAAAGATTTACCGGAGTATTATATGATAAGAAAAGCAATTCATCGAAAACATACAAACAGGAAGAATCCTTTCACCTAAAGAAGTTCCTCTCATCGTTAATTGATGGCCGTTTAGAATTCTAGCTTAGTATATTATGTAACTTGAAGTTAGTAACTAGTTCGTAAGTGCATTTCACTCGTAGTTCTACTTCGAGAAACTTAATTCCATCTATTTATAAAGCAAACAGAGATATTGTACATTAGTTAGAAAATTCCGATTATTTTCTTATCGAGGGTAAAATAGTCTCACGAATAAATGTTGTTTATTGAATCATCATAGTTGCTTGTAATACTCAGTGGCATTTTGCTTAATTCTACTGTTTATTCAGGACATTCCATCTGAGAAGTCTTTTTTGGTTAATGCTATTGCTTTTGTTTTTATTGATCAACTTCCATATAAATTGTTAGTTGTAGTTTTTTTTGAGAGGATGTAAAAAAGTGGAACTGATTTTATCTTTTAATTTATAAGCATGAATTATTACGATATATGCTTTCTTTGTCGTTTTCTTCACCGGAAAAAATTGTATTCCTACTTATTAACCAAAAAGGTCAATAAATCCAGTGTACATGCTGTTAGCCTAAAAAAGTAAACCCACTAAATGTATTTCTTGTCAAGATTTCGGAACTTGTCTCTAAATACATACTCAAATATTTCTCAGTTTTACGTCCCACTTTACCTTGTTCGTTTTAGGCACCAGGGTATTATAACTAGCCTTCACACACAAGGTGTCGCTTTTAACGGCATACTGGAAACCGTTACTTTATGAGTCAAATCATTATTAAATTGGGGATCACTTATCAGCGTTCATCATAAACATTCGTGTTTTTTACTGATTCCTATTTTTTGATTAGCTTAAGTGAATGAATATTATCACATGATTTAGTTCATTTCAGTGAACATTTCTAAGATCAAAATTTCTTGGATTAATAGATTTATTTTATCACAGTAACATTTTAATGATTTATACCGACTGTTAATGGTCGAGTTATTCTACATTCTTTCGACCATCCACTGATTGTCTACAGAAGTCATTAAGCCTTGGTTGCAATTTTATTCTCTTTTGTTTGACTACGTGTTAAACCTTTAAATAATTTCAATGCCCTCTTACTGAAATCGTTATAAAAATTTCAGTTTATCTGGTCTAAAACATCCAGTTTCATACATGTTTGTTTACTGGCAGTAACAATAATTATAATACATACTAATCTTTTATTAAATGATCGTTTACACTGATTTGGACGATATTCTATAATTATTCAATTACATTTTAATGACTGTTTACTGCATTCTTCGTATGTAATAAACTACGATTAAAACATTATTACAAAATTTGTAAAACTCTGATTATTATTGCATTCTCGTACTATTATTGGGGCTATTCATTATTTGTTCTTCTAGGCACAATTTAAAGTTTTAAAATTCCAAATGATTGAAGTGACTTTGGCCGTTTTCAAAAAGCATTCCTTCATTGCACCATGGAATTTCGTTAAACTTTTTCTTTCAATTAATTACTTCATTACGTCTTTTTAATTCAACTGTCTTCTATATTAGTAATTTAGCTTTACTTATTCTTACTATCAACGTTTATTGATTACATAACCGCTAGTTCCTAGCCTTTTGAACTTTTGCTACTATCATTGTTGTATAATGTTCTTCCACATAAAGTGTATATTTATCATATTTTATTTAGTCTGTTAAATCTATTTGCATCCTTTCTATACTATACTAATATGTGGCCAGAGCAGCTCCCAACTAATGTTTTTCATGTAAGTTATTTGAACTCACTTTGTAATTAGGATTCTTAAAGTATGACAGGTAGTAAGCAGCTGACAAGAACCAAACAACATAAAATGAATTTATGTTATTCTTCTGAAATCTTTGTCCTTGCTCTCTTCATGATGATAAACTGAACCATGTTTATGAAATGTTAACCACTTGCAAAAATCACAAAGATTTGATGCCCAATCAAAATTCAATGGGCTCAACAGGATTTAACGAATTAGATTGCACTTAAGAATAGTTTAGAACTAATTAAATGATTTCTGAGTAAACAAAAGGTGTACACCTTGCTACACTGAACGCAGTTCAATAACACTTAAATCAGTCACCATTTTCTAAATACTTGCAGTCGTCTCTTAGTGCTGATCTCTACGGTTAACGAAAAACGACCACAATGATATTAACATCACAATTGTAATGTCTTGTTCAGTGAAGTAAAGAGTAAAATCATTGGTTAGTGTTGCTTCCAGTTTCAAACACGAAGCCACTAATGTGTGGATAAACTACCATTTTTTGCACCTGGACACATCGAGCACATTATGATAGCTCTAGAAGCAATTACTGTACCCTGGAAATTTAACGTTAGGTTTGAAAAAAGCATAATCGTTTTAATGTCACTCAACTACGATGATCGACCTTATATAACCCATCTTTAATTTTAACACTAAACTGAACTGTAAACCATCCTAGTTGGTAACAAATCTATGGGTGTTTGCAAAGCGGGAACGACAAGCGTTGTATGATTCATTTCATTTCGCGTGCTCTAATTCTACCATATACTCACTTGTTTGTATAACGGCGAGGCTATAATTCATGGACGAACCAATCAGATTTAGGATAACAAGTCTTGGATTTTGGCACGAAATTCATTCATCCATTTAGTTAAATAGCGTTTGGTATTTTAGCTTATGACAGTTCGCGATGAAAACCATAAATCCATTTCCTAAACCTAACCACCAACTGTTGATCATAATCCTTATTTTTCACACTGCTTTATAACCGTCATTTAGCCCTAGTAAGTAGGTGGAAATTCTCACGATCACTTCAGCATCGCTCAAAGGTCGTCTATAATTATAGTCTCACCGACTAGTTATAATAACCGTAAATTGGGAATGAATATCTGACTAAAATTAACAAAAAAATGTTATTGGGTGAATTCAACTAAATCAAATTTTGGAAATGAGAGAATTAGAGAAGTGGATGTTATCAGCAGAATGATCGCCTGATGAGGAACTAATCGAAAAAAATACTGTCCGCTTATGATATGTTTTTCTAAATCACATGGGAATTTTTCAAATTGTAATTAGAAATATTTTACAACTGATTGAATAATTCATAGTACACAACGTGTGTATTCGGTCATGCTAGGCACTTAATTTGATGACATGTAAATCAATCACTGTCCTTTGTTTTTATGAACATATATCTTTATGAAATTTGCATCCCGTCTTCAGGGTCCTGGTATGGGTGCTCCTCTTCTCACTGTTGCAATTGTTGCTCGTACTCTTGCTCAATTATGGAACAAACCTTTAATTGGAGTTAATCATTGCATAGCACATATTGAAATGGGTCGTCTTATCACTGGTGCGAAATCACCCATCATATTGTACGTCAGCGGTGGTAATACACAAATTATTGCTTTCGTTTCTGGGCGTTATCGAATATTCGGAGAAACGATCGATATAGCATTGGGCAATTGTTTTGATAGGTTGGTTTGTGTTAAGATTTTGTACCTATTATATGTCTAACGTACTCTTTATAAGTCATTATTTTTTCGAACAAACATTAATCAATATTTTCCACCTCAGATAATTTGTATTATGCCTATATTATGAGATTGCTTAACATTAGTCTTTTTTATAGATTGTAGAAGTACTGTCCGTTTTTTAAGCCTCACCATTTACTCCACTGATGTGTCCAATTCTCACTTACCCATTTTGAAAGGTGTTCTAGTTAAAAGTTTTTCGAAAGAGTTGGTACAATCGTATTAATTTTCAATGGTTATGTTAAATATGGTAGTCAAGTAAAGAATACCATTACAAAATGCTAAAGTTGATATTCCTGGTGAACAAGTATCAGTGATGTGGATCGATCAGTAATGCCCTAGTTGAGCAAAACTCCAACTACTGTTTGCTCCACCTTCCTGTGACGTTAGGAAGCAACAAACACTTGTGCCGTTTTTATTTTAAAACGTCTACCCTTATAAGCATTGATGTATCCACAACACGATATCATTGATGCCATATTCCGACGTACTTCGCGTGTTCTATCGGTCCTGATTTCATTGTTCCAAGTTGTTCGTAAAATCCCAACTGTATGTTTCAGATGATGCAATATTTTTTGTCAAGTCAACCACTTCTAAAGCTGATTAATCGATCTCTTTCTTACAGAATTATATGAAAAATACATCGGTTCGCTACTTCACTAGTTAAAATATGTAAATAAAATAATGTCGTTTACAACTTTCTTTATCCCATTGGTAGTACAGTGAACAACCTTTGTAATGTTTAAGATTCGCTCAATTGCGTTTTGCTGCACAGTGCTAATTGTTAAGCTCCTAAATAAAACTTATGCGAGGTTGGTGCTGAGTAATATATATATATATATATATATATATATACGATTGTAAATCTTGATAATAAATTGATTGGGAAAATATCCTTCCACTAGACTTCATGTTTTTAATGATTTATAAAGGACTTAATGTGATAGTTATCTCAATAAATAAAGTGGTGGATTTCTGAAGTTTCACATCGTGTAACTTCTTCAGTAGAAGTAACTTTCGTAAGACAATATAAATTTTAACAGTAAGAGGAATAAACCATTACCAAATTAGCTTGTTAATACAGAAAAGACTAGGCCTGACAAAGTCATACCTGGCACAGTTTTGACTAAGCGGTGTTAGCTTTGCTCGTATTAAGTTTTGTGTTTGCTGCGGGGTGAGTAAATGTGAAATTTTTGGTGAGAATGAGCGATTCAGTATGTGCATGCTTTTGCAAAACCGTTTTAATTGGGTTGCTGATCTGACTTTTTAACAGACTGTCCAAATACGGAGGTTGTTGAAACCTTCTTTACTGAGAGTAATCACAGATGCTCCAGCTAATTCGTCTTCAATCAGGTTAGATATTTTGAACATTTTCATCTTCAATATTTTAGTTGAGTATGAGATGCACATCGTAATTTTCCAATTCTGCAGAAGTGTTATTGGTTCTTTTATTGCTCAAAATGTCTTTGACATGACTCAGGATATCACGAAAGGGAAACAAGACTTCAACATAAAATGCACCACAAGAGACGCAACTTAATTTGTAAACAGTACTGCATCAAATTATGACTTTTAGTCGAATCACCGGTCATGAATTTTCGATAGACTATAGAAGCGTGATTTGTTGCATGGTTTTATGTGGAATAGAAAATGTTTTAAAACACGGATGAATGGTTTTAGGCTTTCTCTAGAAACCTCCACGTTGCTGATTTCACCCTGTTCATAACGATTTGAAACGTTTTTGACTAAATCTATTAATATGGTCCTGTGGAGAGTTATGAAAGCAGCTGATCATCATAATAATTTTTTTATTTATAGCAACAATAATAATCTTTTTCCCATTTATCACGATCGCCATAATTTTCGCCTGTTTTAAGCTCTGAAATGTCTACTCGTTAATAAAAACGATTTATTTCCTTGAATACAGATGGGACTTATTGCCTAACAATTATTCAACAATTGGTTTTTGAATTCGCGTGTTTTCTTTTTTGGGAACTAATACTCGAACACGTTTTCAGTAAGATGATTTCATGCTCGTTCTAACCCAGACCACCTCGTCGACATTTGATTGCTGGGATATTTTTTTAGAAAAACATTTAATTGTCTCTTTATTGTGCATCAGTTATTTCAGTTACCCATACGTAACCCAGAGTGTTTTCCACTTTAGGTTTGCCCGTATTGTAAATCTTTCGAATGATCCAAGTCCTGGCTATAACATTGAGAAGCTAGCCAAACAGGGATCCAAATTTTTCGAGTTACCATATGCAGTAAAGGGTATGGATGTTTCTTTTGCAGGATTATTATCATTTTTGGAAGAGCGTGCACCAAAGCTTTTAGAAACTGGTGAATACACTGTGGCTGATTTATGCTTTAGTCTCCAAGAAACAGCTTTTGCTATGGTTGTAGAAATTACTGAACGGGCTATTGCACATTGTGATGCAAACGTAAGTTTATTTGATTTTAAGTGTTACTAACTAATTTATGTATATGATTAGATTTAAACTGTAATAACAATAAACCATAAGAAAAAAAATGAACTGATTTTTCGTTGTTTCACAAGTTATCCCATAGTTAGTCGCTCAGTTACTATCTTTGTCAAATGTCTATATTAGTAGTTTGGATTTTATTTATTTATTTTGTCGGAAAAGGTATATATGATTCTGATTTATTTTTGTAAGTTGTACAGTATATTTTAATTAGCTTTGAAATTTCTTTAGTTATACATGTGATCTCACTTTACCTTGTGAATTTATATGAGCTTTTTTAAATAGAAAAGTATGTTTCATAATGATTTTGTCAGTACTTGTCACATTGCACAGTTCCTCGTTGTTTCGAAATTCTTCATAAAAATTCTGTAAGATTAGATTTTGCATATACTTAACAATACAAATAGATCATATCTGAAACCAGTAAAATTTTTATGAAAATTCGGTACTTTTATCAAAGTGTATAAACACTGAAGTTTCCCAGCCCTTAATTGTGTGACGTCCTTAATTTAATTTGATCACGAAACCTGTAGTTTGGCGAAAATTGGTTCCTTCAAGCAAGTGAACATACATCGTGCTTCAGCACTTGTGTCAAATGGGATTATCAGGAATCAGCATGGGTAAATTAAACAATCTTTCCAGACTAATCCAATAGCTCAAAATAACTGGAATTCCTGCGAATGCATCATAAAAGGTAGACTAGGCGACGAAAAAGCATTAAGTGCTGTTTAGAATAAACAATGAAATATTGAAAGAGGAGTATCGTTGAATGGTTAGTTACGACAAATTAACTCAACCCTATAAAACAGTAGGTCACCAATTATGTTTGTAGATAACACAAACTACTGAATATTAAAAAGTAGCATAGCGTATCGTACCATAAACGTGGTCACAGAAGTCATGTAGTTGATATAGTAAATATATTTAGCAATTTCAAATGGAATTGTTTTGTTGCCTCTTAACTTCGGGTTGGAAAATCTAGAAATAACGAATCAGTTTCCAAACCATCTCCCTTTTAGGGATCTCCTGCTTCGGTTTGGGCACCCGGGCAGTATCACAGCCCTCACACATATCGAATGAGATTTGTGTGGCGCATATGTATTTGGTGCCTCATTGTACCAATATCTATGTGTTAAAAGAAATAAATAAATCTTAGGGATCTTTAACATCTATAGCATGTCGTTTTCCACATTTCCTGGTTGAAATTCTCCTGAAACACTATATAGTTAAATAAATTATTTGCAATTTCTTGTTAATTTCCAGAATCTGCTCTTTCGACTGTTATGTATCGTTTTCTATTAAGCATGTCACAGAGTTATTTTAAACTAATTCTGTTTGCTAGAAGGTTTGATCTATTGATTTTTTTCTGATTCCATGTAATGGACCCAATACTACCTTATGTTAGTTTCTTAGTTATTCTCACAAATATCAAGTTCGACATTAAAAAGCAGGTATACTAAACTTATAAACATGATCTTATAAATAAACTGACTTAGTTTACATATGGTTGCTTAAAACGTATCTTACATTCTCCTAGTCACTATGATTGTAGATCTCAAATATTTTGTGTTTTACAATGTTTACTACCGTTGAATTTAAACTGTACATAGCAACAAAATGATTATAGCATCGAACGAAGTAGAATTATTCAATGTGGTTTAGCTCTTTTTTATTCACTGTGTTGCATAAAGAAAGAAAATTGATGAAGTGTATGTTTGTTGGATTGTATATTATTTTAATGTATATTTTTGGATTTTGGTCATGATGTTCTGTAAACTCATTTAGATTTCTAGTCAGTAAATTAGCTACATTCAACATCCCAACGATTCATGCAAGATCGAGTTGAATTCCATGTTAGTTAACTGCAATAGCAAGACCTAAAAAAAGTTTCTGTAAATATTCAGCTAACTCTGTAATCGTAAACACTAGGTTTCTTGTGATATTTAGACAAATGATAGTTAATCCCAGCTCATTTAATCCAACATATTGTAGTAATCTTCATCCCTGAATTATCGAAAATTTTGCAAGGAATACTTGATCTGATAGTCAAGACTCATAGTGGCAGTTGATGAAGCTTATCGCCTGTTCGTCTAAGTCACTTGAACAAAATTCTTAGTGCCAATGAAAAAATATCGAAATGATAGCGCACTCAATGCATATTTTTAAAGATCCTTAGAGCACTACATGAAGCCATCTGAACGATGGTTTAAATGACCCCCTGTTCTAGGAAATTCTGTAAATCGTACCCCAATTGACGTAATGATATCTTAGGAAAGAACTCCAACTAGTAGGATGTCACAAGATACTCGGCTCAGAAGATTTATTTCTAGGTCTTTTTAGTTGGACAGGTGACATTCTCAATCTGAAACTAACTAGATTGCCAGACGAAAAGCTTATGGTAATTTAGCTTATCTATGTCAAAGTTTCGCTGTATCTATAAAAGGTACTGTAGTGAAATCAGCTCTGCTCTTTACTTGTGAATCTTGCCGTCTATAAGATATTTGTCGGTCTCTGTCTTTAAATAAACATGATAAGCTAAGTAATATTATTAGTCATTAACTAAAACGTAACTATGATGTAAAATGAAGTCACTAATCTTTATTCATAGGAAATAAAATTTCAACATCGTGGTACAGATACGTCATGGCTATTTAATGTTGGTTGTGCCGTGAAATTTTTCAAAACAATCTAACATCTGTCCTGTTTATGTTAGACCGGGCAAATATACACGGTATCGTGTTTACGTTTTAGTGGCCTCGTATATATTTATCGACTTAATCCGCGTTAGTGAATAACAGAATTAAATAAACCAAATACCAGAATGAATTTTTGAATGCGTATATTTTGTGCAATCATTTATCTGGACAGACAATCAGAGGGACGAAGCGAAGCGGAATGATGTGCGATGAAGCCCTGTGGACCAACTCGATTCAACCAAGCGTTAATCAATATAGTCACACAAATATAAGCTACAGACATGTGATGATTAGGATAAGATGTACACATATAAAAACAGGGTTGATAAGTGGATAATTAACAAGGTCAAAACGTGACTCGAGAAGAATGAATAAGTTGGCCTGTTTAGAAGCTAGAATAACTTATATGGGCTTAACATAGTAACTGACACTACAACGTATTCGGTTTTCTATTTGTAGTTATTTTTATGGGTATGACATTGATTTATTGTTCTTAAGTAATACCCAGTCAAACTATTCAAGTCTGACTGTCAGTATGACTGTATGTAAATCATATAAAGAATTGTGTATGCATATAACATTTTGATTTATTTTGGGAGTCAAATAAATAATTATCAAGCACTACACTTCGTCGTATTTTCGATTTTCAGCACCACGTGCAAGGCAGCTAAGACATAATAGTGACAAGCATGACAATTTTCATCTTAAATTCTTTTAATTACTAACTAATTAGTCTTATTATATTGGGATGAGTATTTTACATTTTGAAATTTTTCAGGAGGTTCTCATTGTCGGTGGTGTTGGTTGCAACGTGCGTCTACAGGAAATGATGAACTGCATGGCTGAAGAGCGTGGTGCTAAATTATTCGCAACTGATGAGCGATTTTGTATTGATAATGGTGCTATGATAGCACATACTGGATGTCTAATGTTTGATGCCGGTTTGACTTTTCCGCTGAAAGACTCTGTTGTCTCTCAACGCTATCGTACAGATGCTGTTGATGCAGTTTGGCGTGATGAATAAAATCTCCATATGTATATATTTTTAAATATATTGCTATTCTGACGATTCAATATTTTTCTATGGGAACTCTACTTAGTTGCATATGCTATTGCTAAATGGTTAGGTAGGCAGACATAGAGATAAATCATTCATTGGCTCTAGATACAAGCTCATCCTTTTATTCATAAATCTCTATGAGTTGATTCTGGAATATCGATTGTATTTCGTATTTTTTGTAAGCAAGCTGCAGGTCATTTTAGTACCAAGTTGTTCTAAATCTGTTCTAGTAAAAGTAACCAAGCATATAGTAAAATAGCGACCGAAGTTATTGAAGAAAATAAACTGGTCTAGGAGAAATAGAATGTTATTATTTGATTGTCAAATAAATGGGTTTATTGTATCCATTACCTAGTAATGAATATTCATTATTACACCTTATAAAATTTCTATCCACCCAGTTATTTACAATTATGTTTTATAGGTGTCAGGTTTTCTACATATTTAGATGCGAACGTTTTCTTCTTTCCTTACCTATCTATTATTCTTGTTAAAGATTCTGACACTCGTAGCACCTCGTTTCATCTTTTAGGACAGATGGGTATCCGAGGCTTGTGGACGTATATTCAAAGTAACAGTGAAAACTTCTCCTCGTATGAATTGCATAACCAACCTTTAGTTATTGATGCTGAAAACTTCGCTTCTCTCTGTTATCGTCAAGCTGCTTTGCGATGTGAATATGGTGGAGAGTATTTGGCATTTAAAGGTTATGTCCAGTTATTCCTAAAACAGTTTCGTATCTGTCGTGTGAACCCAATCTTCGTTTTTGATGGATGTCATTCTAAAGAGGTATGCTTTCAATATCATAGTACTTTTTTTCTCTTACTGCCTACATTTTTTCCAGTCTACTTAGATCTTAGGGAATTTATTTAAAATAGAAAGTTTTTGTGTAGTATACATCTCATCACTATTGTATATAGTATCATAATTGATCTAAGCAATCAATGCATTATAGGAATTATAATTGTTTACCTTAACTGCCTAATTAATTAAATCATTAGAAAGTGATGTACACGTTAGAAAATATGCGTGTCAAGCGCTTTCGTCTGTTTATAGGCCATCCACTTCGCTAATGCTGCAAAAGATCAATTATTTTGTGTATTTAGGATTTTGCAACAAGACATTATGTTTCACATTGAGACTCGAGTTATGAGCAATGACCTCTACAAATTAACATATTTATACAGTCATGTGTATATCTAGAAGTCTATCTCATACAAGGATAATTTGTTTATTAAGCGTACAATTCAGCAATTATTTAGTGTTATTCGAGCTTTTATACGTACTAATAAGTTTTTTACTACCTCTCGAGGTGTAATTTCACCACTACCCTTTCGTTTATTGGTATATTTCTCAGAGTGATAATAAAACATTTACAACCAAATGTGATAAATGTAAAGAAACTGAACACAAAATTTTGAGCAATTTATTTTTCGAGTTTGTTACATACAATGATTCATTTTATAAGTTAACTAATGAATTTTTTCCGCTCTCCTAAGGGATCAAAATTGGATACTTTGTTGAAGCGAAACGTTGACCAATTTAATAAACTCTCATCAGCTCTTCGTAATATTAACTCAATTTCTAATCTAGATAGCCTAGACTTGAAAATCGATATAACTCCACGACTATGTAGACATGTTCTTGTGGAAATTCTACGGGAATCTTCAGTTCGATACATAGCATGTGAACGTGAAGCTGATATCAGTATAGCAAAACTAGCTATTTCTCTTCAATGTCCCATTACTAGTGGAGATTCTGATTTTTTGATTTATCGACCAATCGATGACAATCAAGTCTATAGTTTTATTCCACTTTCATCTATTCTACTCGATTGTAAGCAGAGATCCCTCCCTTGTTCTGTTTGTAAACTTGATGGTTCTCCATGTTTTTTTATATCGTGTAAAGTCCTTAATAATTCAGGACCGTTTTATAAACTCAAGTATCCTATGTTACCACTTTTTGCCATTCTCGTTGGTAATGACATAACATCAAATATTCGCCTTCCAGCTATCATCGATTCTCTAATCCATACTTCTGATCTACAGAACACGTCCTACTATCAAAGACGTATCCATGCTATATTTAACTGGATCTTACAATTCTGTGATATGAAACAACCATTGTCATTAATTCTGTCACTTTACAGCCAAAATGAAAGGGATGATATTGAGGAGACAATACGTTCGGGGATTTCGGATTATTTTCTGAATATTTCAGGTGAAAACCTGGCTCATGCATTAGGATTTTCAAACAAACACTATGTCTCATTAAGTGTCCCATCATCAAGCAAACTTGAAAAGTCAAACATTCAAAACTCCACAACTTCATGGGGTTCCTGCTTTGAAGATCCTTTCAAATTTTCTAAACCTATTTTTGAGCGGAATAATGATAAAGTTAGTATATTTCACCATTGGCCGAAAGAATTGATTAAACGATTTAAATCTTTGGAATTAATCCCAAGCTTTTTGGACTACATGTATGTGCGAAATGGCGTTGTCCCTCGTCAAGTAGTGGAGGATATAAAGAGTCCTAATTCAATTAACAAATGTATGTCTAAAATGAGAAGTATTTTAAATGGACTTATATATGGCCTTGAAAAACACTTAGGCACCAATGAAAAGTTATGTGGAATGGAGAATGAGTGTGTCACTGAGTACAGAAGAAGTTCGAATGGTCAATTGACGAAGACTTTAATTTCCGTGAAGCCTCTTAAACCCCCTTGTGCTAAAACACCTGAATTTTCGTTCGTATCTTTTTTCTCCCAGTCTTTTAATGTGAATTTAGTAAAAGATTTTAAACCTCTTGAAATACAAGGTTTAGCTGTTTTATTAGTTCTATGGTTCAGATCTTCATTTCATGCTCAATCTAAAGCTAAAAACATTCAAACATCACCGGTTGGACTTGCCCTATCATGTTGCGCAATCGCTATCAATTTAAATTGTGAATTTCTTGGTAGAAATAATACTTTTGAAGATTTTGTCAACTCTATTTGCACACATTTCAATAAATGTGCTGATTTAGCAAAATCAGTTTATTGCCAAAGAAATCCACCTTTCTTTTGTATCGAAGATGTTCACCAACTTAATGAATTGCAAAGTATGGCCTCTGGATTAAATCATTTAGTTGCACTGATTGAGGTGCTTTGTCCGTTTTATGTCTCAAATATTGGTGAATTTGATTCTTCACATTTAAAAAATTCTTTCATAAGCTTTTATCCACTTTGGATGTTATTTGCCAGTGGACGTCTTATATACTGGATTGGTCGACTTTTACAAAGTCTAGATCCGTCTGAGCGTTTCCATAAAGTCATAAATGATTGGCTTCCAAAATTGCTCATTAAAACCAATTTTATCAGTCAACAACAGGACTGCGCCCAAAGAGATTTTACCAAACTTTTCAATCTAATTGATAAGTTGAACTGATAAAATTTGTAGTTTCTATTATCAACGGTAGTATTTATTTTTGATAGACCTTCATTTACGATTGTTTTACTTAATTTTATAAACATATATAACACTTCCATGGTTTTTGTTTAAACTTTTAATTCATTCATTTGCACACCTATTTTTCTAACAACTATAATCATCCACATACTTTAATGTATACTTCATACTGTCTTGCTGCACCTTTATTTTAGCAAAGGTAGTAAGGATGTAAAAAAGAAGCATTTATCCGAAAAACCTACTTCTATTCTGTGAAAACTACTTCCCCAACTACTTGGATTTAATAGTTTGTTGATCGTAGTATAACTAGACATGTTAACGGCGGCTTTTCTGTAAATAGTCAATATTTCCACCTATTTTATGTTCATTTAACTAGATGATTATGTCGAAGTATGTGCCGATGTTGTCTAGAAGGAAAATGAAAGTTTCGCGACTAAACCATCCACCTCAGAGCACTACACTTCCGAAATCGTCATCCTAAGATAAAAGTACCCCCCATTTTATCCGTTTATGTTTGCTTAAAGCTTAGTGGAAAAACCAGTGATAACTATTTTTTTGCTTAAGCAATTGACCTTGCATCGTATTTTGTTCAAGTTATGATTGATACGATTATAGGTTGCGAGTTATCTCTTGATGAAATATTGCTCCAATTACTTGATACCACGAATACTCGTTTGGTTTCATATGAAGTATTTCATCACAGTCGTTTGTCCCATATCCATAAGTATTGAGAAGCTAGTTTATAAGAAACCCCAGTAGCAAATAAAAAAGAGGATGGGACTTCTCAACGACTTATGGATTATACCAAGGGGGTTAGAAGTACGTAATGTCGTATGCAACTCCAAACTTGTACACTCCGTTGTTTCATGGTCTTTCTAATTGTTAAAAGTGGAGGTTCGTAGTATGAGGAGTTTAAAAATGGAAAAGTTACTTCTTGTGCATTCACAAATTAAAATCATTACTTGATACCTGTCACATAAGATTGGGCATATCTATGTCCAAATGAGAAACTTAGTTACTTTCAGCGAGTGTAGTCCACCTAACCATTCACAACATTACGAAACGACCTAGTTACTTGTATATATTGTATCAATAAAGTGAGTACAATCTTTGTAAGATATTATAGGATTATCTACGAAACCGGAAGGATTTAGTAGGTCTGATAGATATTAGGTTCCCTGAGTCATTTAAAGAGGAGTTAAATAATCCAAACAACATTGTATTGTCAAATCCACAATGCTTACGCAAGTATTTATCCATTAATGTTAATGATCGCATTATCACTTTGCAGTTGGACACTGCATCCGTCGTCAGTTTGATTTTCGCGAAACTTGGTCAGCCAAGCACTCATCCTACTAACGACTGTATAAAAAATGCATCGGGCATCCCAATCAAAATTTCTATAATCATCAAATGTGCATTCAAATTTAATGATCTAGTAATCAAATCCACATGCTATATTACTGATGAATCCTTCAATATATTAGGTTTTGACTAGATCACAGAATTAAAGATGTCTGATTATCCATTTAATCTTATTTGTAATTCAGGTCCATAAATGCTCGATCAGTTATCTAACCTTATTTGTAACCGAGTATGTCCCTACCCTCATATCACGTGATTTTAAAAATGATTACAAAAGGAGTGCACGACTGAGAAAATCACCAGCGATAATCTTGAATCCAGCCTTACTTAGGGTTTCTCTCCTGCTGAATCAACGTTCGGAAGGAAGATTCGAACACTTTACAAATAGGGAGACAAGATTATAAACCCGATTCGAAGAGAATTGAACATCAGTTTTCTAAAGCGCGACATTTAAACCACACCCATGACAGACGAATGAAGAACTTCCTAGCTCGTACCTGCAACTAGATTATTTAATTGATACAGTTAGCTGGGAGCGTCAGGATCGGCGCGGGCGAAGTGATAACCATACTTCAAGAAGATCATGAACAGGAAATTTCCCTCGACGCTTTCAGTTAAATCCAAGCGATAAGATTTATTTTTCCGGAGGGAAAGGTGATACTTACTTATTTACTTACTTACGCCTGTTACTCCTCGTGAAGGAGCATAGGCCGCTCACCAGCATTCTCCATCCAACCCTGTCCTGGGCAATCCTTTCTAGCTCCGTCCAGTCGTAATTCATCGTTTTCATATCTGCTTCTATTATCCGACGCAATGTGTTCTTTGGCCTTCCTCTTTTTCGCTTCCCTTCAAGATTCCAAGTTAGGGCTTGCCTCGTGATGCAGTTTGACGATTTGCGTAATGTATGTCCTATCCATTTCCATCATCTTTTCCTAATTTCTTCTTCAGCTGGAAGTTGGTTTGTTCTCTCCCACAGAACGCTGTTGCTGATGGTATCCGGCCAATGGATGTTGAGTATCTTGCGAAGACAGCTATTTATAAATACTTGTACTTTCTTGATTGTGGTTGTTGTAGTTCTCCAAGTTTCAGCTCCATACAGTAGAACTGCCTTGACGTTCGTATTGAAGATTCTCACTTTGATATTGGTTGAAAGTTGTTTTGAGTTCCATATGTTCTTCAATTGTAAGAATGCGACCCTTGCTTTGCCGATCCTCGCCTTTACTTCTGCATCGGATCCTCCTTGTTCATCGATGATGCTTCCCAGGTATGTGAAGGACTCTAACATCTTCCAGAGTTTCGCCATCAAGTGTGATTGGATTGCTGTTCTCCGCTTTGAATTTGAGGACCTTAGTTTTCCCTTTGTGTATGCTGAGGCCTACTGATGCAGAGACTGCTGCTACACTGGCTGTCTTCATCTGCATCTGTTCGTGTGTACGTGATAGGAGGGCTAGGTCATCTGCGAAGTCCAAATCGTCTAATTGATTCTGAGCTGTTCATTGTATTCCGTGTTTTCCTTCAGATGTTGAGGTCTGCATAATCCAGTCGACCACCAGAAGAAAGAGGAAGGGAGAGAGTAAACAGCCTTGTCTGACTCCGGTCCTTACTTGGAATGCATCTGTCAGCTGTCCTCCATGCACTACTTTGCACTGTAGTCCGTCGTATGAGTTCCGGATAATATTGACAATCTTCTCAGGAACTCCGTAGTGTCGAAGAAATTTCCATAACGTCCTCCTATCTACACTGTCGAATGCATTTTCATAATCAATGAAGTTGATGTATAGTGATGAGTTCCACTCAACTGATTGTTCGACGATGATCCGTAGTGTTGCAATTTGGTCTGTGCACGACCGATCCTTACGGAATCCAGCTTGTTGATCTCGAAGTTGGGCGCCTACTGCATCCTTCATCCAGTTCAGCAACAATCTGTTGAAGACTTTCCCTGGTATTGACAGTAGTGTTATGTCTCTGTAGTTTTCACATTTGCTCAGATCTCCTTTCTTTGGAATCTTGACGAGGTGTCCTTCTTTCCAGTCCATCGGTACTTGTTCCTCCTCCCAAATCTTTCTGAACAGCAGGTGAAGCATGTTTGTAGTTACTTCGATGTCTGACTTCAGTGCTTCAGCTGCTTTCTCGCTCTTGATTTGTCTGATGGCCATTCTGATTTGTTCCGTCGTTGGTGGATTGACATACATAGGAAGATTTGTGTGTGTTGCTTCGATGTCCGGTGGATTCGTTGGAGCCGGCCTATTCAAGAGTTCCTCGAAGTATTCTATCTATCTGTTCCGCTGTTGTTGAATTTCAGTGATTGGCCTACCTTCTTTGTCTTTGACCGGCCTCTCTGGTTTACTGTATTTCCCTGATAGTTTCTTCGTTGTATCGTAAAGCTGTTTTATATTTCCTTCTCTAGCAGCTTTTTCTGCCGTCGTTGCTAGTTCTTCCACGTATTTCTTCTTGTCGGCTCTAATGCTCCTCTTCACTTGTTTGTTTGCTTCTATGTATTCAGCTTATGCTTGGACTTTCTCTGCTCGTGTTCGGCTGTTGTTTATTGCTGACTTCTTGTTCTTCCTTTCTTTGATCTTGTCCACTGTTTCTATAAAGATCCATTCCTTATGATGGTATTTCTTTAGACTGAGAACCTCTTGACACGTTGAAGTTAATGCTTCTCCAGTTGTCCTCCATAGTAGTTTCTTCTTCTTTCAGTAGATCTTGTAAGGCTTGGAACCTGTTGTTGAGAGCTATCTTGAATTCATTGAGTTTGACAGTATCTCGAAGGAAGGTTGTATTGAACCTTTGTATTGCTGTTTGTCCACTTGTCCAGTTCTTTTTTAGCTTCAGTTTCAAATTGGCTACAACTAGGTGGTGATCTGAAGCTACGTCAGCACCTCTCCTGGTTCTCACATCTTCCATTGTCCTTCGGAATTTTTTGTTGATGCAAATATGATCTATTTGGTTCTCTGTAGTGTGGTCCGGTGAGATCCATGTAGCCTTGTGTATACGCTTGTGTGGAAATATTGTGCCTCCTATGACCAATTTGTTGAATGCACATAGATTTGCAAATCTTTCTCCATTTTCGTTTCTTTCTCCCAGTCCATGTCGTCCCATAATATCTTCATATCCAGTGTTGTCTATTCCGACTTTGGCATTTAGATCTCCCATTAGAATGGTGAGGTCCTTTCTTGGGCATTTCTCTATCACTGACAGCAGCCGCTCGTAGAATTGATCTTTAATGTCGTCGTTGCTATCATTGGTGGGTGCATAACATTGGATAATATTCATTAAGATCCCCTCCTTCTTTGTTTTGAATGATGCTTTGATGATTCTGGATCCGTGAGATTCCCATCCTACAAGTGCATTTCGTGCTACTTTGGACGGCATTAGAGCAACTCCCTGGGTGTGTGGAGCATTGTCCTCTTCGTGACCGGAGTATAGCAGCATCTCTCCCGTAGCTAGCCTTTTGAGTCCAGTGGGTTTTGCTGATTCCCAGTACTGCCAAGTTGTATCTCCTCATTTCCATTGATATTTGACTGGTCTTCCCGGTTTCCCACAATGTTCGAACGTTCCATGTACCTATAAAATTTTTTGCTCTGGTTGTTAGAAGGGGCATCGGCCTCGTGGCTTCCGAAGGAACTCGGCTTTCACCATGAAGCGTCATAATTCTTCTAAATGAAGACCTTCTAACTCCCAGGGCAGAGTTAAAATGGTTTGGATTATTTTTTCTGGTAAGCGTTTTTTTAGCGAGTTAGTTTTCTACGGGATGGGGACGCTAACCCCATGCCCAACCCTCCTCCTTTTCCCGGGCTTGGGACCGGCAGCAACCCTATAAGAGTTATAGGCGGAGTTGGGAAAGGTGATATGTAGTGCCATTTAGAAGTAGCGTAATTAAAATGTCAATCAGAAATGATCCGAAGGTCAAGTGCATTTCATTGGGGTCAATTTCCTAAGGACATAGTGGTATATATATGAATGAGTACTTACGCACTTCATTAGGTAGTCTAAAACACTTTCATGCTCAAGTAGTCAGTTGGTGGTTAGAGCATAGCATATCGTGTATCAGTATCTGATTCCAGACACTGCATGTCATAACAATGCTACATCGGTGAAGTAAACCCTTTCTAAACACAGAGACAGCAATCGAATCATTCCACAATATCGAAATACTCACTAATTGCCAGAAATTAGTAAACAACTTTGTCAGTCCCCTAATCAGGTCGTCGCTATCTTTAAAAGGGGACGGAGATAAATCATCTGGACCTGGTGATTTGGGGCGGTTCAAGATTTGGAGTTCATTGCGGGATTCCATGTCGTTTGGGGGACCAGTTGTCACTGACGATTAAGGACAGGACAGTCTGACTGATGTCGCTGGGGCAGTAGACCAGTTGAACTGCTCTTCACAGAGCTCTGATCGTTGTATGAAATTTCGGTAAATGTCATTTTTCGGCGTTCCATCAGCTTCACAAATTGCATCACTCATGCCGGACTTCTTGCTGCCAGTGAATCGGATGAGTTGAAAGAGCTCCGAGAAGTTATCATGTCCAACTGCTGTTCCCAACTCGTTAGCACGCTCAGACCACCAGGCTTATTGGTCCTAACGCAAGCTTTGTACAGTTTTATTGCGTAACAATCTACGTTTGTTATCGAGCTCGCGTTTACCCGGAGTAAACCCACGTGTCACCAAAACCGGCCACACTGAACAAGGACTCTGCATAGACGCAGGTTAAACGAGCATTTGAAAGCAATAGATAGAGCGAGTTTGTAGTACATCACTCGTCTTGAGTACGAATCCAGCATAGAAAACAAACGTCAGTTTTAGGGCTTTTTAAAAACATAACCAACCTTCATGTTGTTGAGTCTGGTTTAGTGAGGACTTCGAAGCCCAATTTGAGTGGGACATATTCGAAGAAAGACTGGTTCAAAATCCGTATTCGATGGTAGCATTCAATTAATCACTGACATCAGGTTTTTTAAATCTCCATAGGTCTAATTCATAAGTCAGTGAACCATTAGTAAATACCGTCGCATAGTAGTTTCCCTTGGGATTCTGCAGCCCATGTGCACCATTGGACTGGGTTTTCCCAACAGATCTAGGTGGATCTTGTGTACTCGCTAAGACTGGTAAAGCACCAAACATTCGACTGTCATCCTCTCAAAGGCGGAGTGTGTTAAAAACTCCTTATCAACATAAGGTCGGATGTGGACAATTAATTATTCAAACTGATGCACTGTCGAACGAAAGACTAAACTTTGTGCATAAAAGCGAACACGGTCCCATCCCATCTCCTTCCTAGTTGCGATACTTATTAATCAGTTGCTATTACTTCCAAGTTTGCCAGTTATTAATTAACTGTGAGCATATAATTCATTTATGATTCTCTTCAATTATCTCAAAACCAACTTTATATTGAAATAAGCTTATCCGGTCATTACATCACATCCCTATCGATTGTCACGAACGACTTGCGATGCGGTTTTACTTTATTCGGTAACAGGTGACTGTATATATATATATATATATATATATATATATATATATATATATATATATATATATATATATTTGTAACCCTATGTATATAAAACAGGAATAATTAGCGGTGGGCAAACTGCCTATAACAAGTCATCTACCACAAGTGCTTATTCGATAAAATTTTAACATCTAATAATGGAAAAATGATTGTTGCTCTCTTAAAATACTAAAAGGACAAGATATAAAGCACATGATTTATAGTGGGATTTATTTGAAGTAAATGATGCTGAATTAGTTAGTTGTACGTCATGTATCGTGGGGTTGCACTGAACTTAGCATACGACTTGATAACTTTGTTCACAGCTTCTAGAAAATCTTTCTCAGTAGCCATTTTCCGTCTTGATCTAATGGCATACATTCCAGCTTCAGTACAAACGCTACGAATCTCTGCGCCTGGAAAGTGGAAAATCAAAAAAACCGTAAGGAACTTAGCTTTGCACTCAAATAACATGAGCAATAAAACGTAAGTTTACAATCCGTTGGAAGCGAGGCTCAAAATATAATTAGCAAAATTGCGTTATATAAAGTTTGTAGAAGAGAAAGTACTTATGTATAAATAAACAAATCACAAATTAATTCAATGCACTAAGTGACCTAAATGGACCAGGATATAATATTACTTCCTTTTTATTAGAAATTACTTATACAGTCCATAATTAAAATTATAATTACACACAAATGACCAACCTTCTTGTTATAGGTTGACACTTGTGAAACTTTGAGCAACATTAATTAAAGAAATTCATTACTCGATATAAATGCTATTGATATCGTTTTAGTTGCTTTTACAGTCAGTACAACATATGGAAAGATTTTGGCTACACTAACTAAATGTACAATTTGTCACTAAATATACACATTAAATGATATTTGTAACTATCATTGATGAGATTTATCTTAATAATTTCAAATAAATTGTAAATGATAAAATAAATATATACTTGTGACATCTCAATGAATAGAAATTCGAATTACTGATATTTTGCGAATCCGTTCTAAGTTGCTTATTAAAAGAGTATGTAAATAACCGATTGAATTTCTGCTAATTTAACTCGGTTATTTACTTAATGTTTGAAAAAGCAACTTAAAATAATTCGCAAAATGTCTGAAATTTCAAGAAAAAGAAGATAGATTCTCATTCAGACATCGAATTATCCACATTAATGTGCATCGCTATTTTGAGTTTTGTTATCTAAATTGAATTTAGTAGTCACTGCGAGAAACGAATGCGATTTATTTTACAAACATATGTTCAGAAAACAAGTACATGGGGAAAAAACTCAGCCAGGTTTATGAGAAATAATTTTTCGCAAATACAACAACTAGACCATAAAACTTACCAGTACTATTAGGACATAGACGAGCAAGAAGCTCGTAACGAATATCTTTCTCAACGGACATGGAACGGGCATGTATTTTAAATATATGAGTCCGACCTTCAAGATCAGGTAGACCGAATTCAACTTTTCGATCCAAACGGCCAGGTCTAACAAGAGCAGGATCGAGAGTATCAGGTCGGTTAGTGGCCATGAGTACCTAAAACAAAAACATAGGGTTGAGCACAAAAGATAAATGAGACATAAATAAACGTGAAAATATCTCTAAATGAGAGCTCTACACAATAACAGACGTTTCTGTGTGAAGGACCAGTACATTTAATACGAGATG